CAGACTTGACTTGACATGAACAGACTTGACTTGATGAGGCATGAAGAGACTTGACTTGACATGAACAGACTTGACTTGACGAGTCATGAACAGACTTGACTTGACATGAACAGACTAGACTCACCGACAGTGGGTTACAACTTCAATACACGACCAAGACTATGGGAACATGATGGCTACTTATAGCAAACAAGAGGGTCACAAGACAAGAACAAACCAATGGGAAACAAGACACATGACTAAGACAACCAATCAGAACATGACACATACACAAGGCAGAGATACATGAGGGCAAGGGAAGCATGACACTAACAGCATGAAATAATTACAAAATAAAAGACATGAAAACATGAACATGAAACAAAACCCAAACACAAAACCCCACATTACATCGAGGCTGTTACCTTACAAATAAATGTGCAAGCCATTCTTATTTACAAAGGCTTGTTAATAAGGGTTCATACTAGTAAACAATGCTATATTGCCCAATTAAACTTATTTCATAATTAATTAACATTACATATTAAACAGAGCTGAATCAACACTGAACTGTCTTTAACTGAACAACGATATTGCTTTATTTTTGGCAGTTACACTATAAGTGCAAACAATGATCAATTTTGTTTACTCTAAAATAGCATTTTCTTTAGGCAAAGTGTAAATAGTAGGTGGCAGATTTATACTTCAGTACTGTAGTACATTATAAAACAGTATGCAATAACATATTGAGTGTAAATTATCATATTTATTAATATTATTAAATGGATGCCGCCTAGTTTATTGGGACAATAAATCTCTCCACCGCTAATCATACCCAATAACACTGTATTAGTTTTGAGGTGTTTTATTTCCACTTTTCAAATATTTCCATTTTTATTGAAAGTAAATGCCTTTCCGATCTGATATGTGATGGGAAAAGGGGAAGAACGAGTTTGGCAAAAGGGATTCGAACACGCGTAGATCGCATAAATTATTTCGCGTTTTACTCGCTTCGCCAATGATCCAGCAGACAACGAGGCGTCTTTTGCAGTGCTGTTTATCGCAGCTAGGCACTGGTGGGCGGACTTAATGTAAATAGCCTCTAAGTTATTTGCACTTAGAGTAAATAGACACTACGTTTCTTTTTATAGCTGCTTTACAGCGGAATTAAATTATTTTTGCATAATTTAAATATATATTTTTTTATTATTTATATATTACTGCAACATTATTATTATTTAATATATTTGAAACAATCTGTACTGTATAAAGCGCTATAGATGTACTGTATAAAGCGCTATAGATAGTTACGTCATTTGACTTTATCGGAAACGTGCCGTAGAGATTAAGGTAATCTATGTCCTACTAACGATATTGTTTTTAGATACATAGCAATAATTTGTAGTTTACAGTAACATGTATATAATTACTATCCCCCGCCTCCAGTTCATTCACGCATTTGAAGATGAAACGTCATGTGGAGCGCGTTGCGTTGTGGGAAACAGTATCCCATGCAGTATCTTCAGATGCATACATCAAATTTCAGCAAATGTAGCAGGTATTCCGGGAATTCCATGCATACAGAAAATTCACATACTATTCACAGTATACACACTGCGTACTGCAATACAGTAGGGGTTATATGGTAGTAGCCTATGCTATTCCAAACACAGCTTCTGTACTGATTTCAGTGTACTTGAGTTATATTTAGCAGATTCTGGTAAATATAGTAGGTTATCCAGGTATTCCATGCATACAGAAAGTTTGCATACTATGCACAGTACATACCGGATACTGCAGAAATATAAGAGTAGTATGATAGTGTAAAGGAGGCCAGCGAGTAAGTGCTGTGCAGGTAAACCTTACTCCCCCGATCTCAAGAGGCGCACTAGCGACTGACGCTTCTGCCTCCCATGCCGGAGACCAGGGTTTGAGACCCACTCGGAACGAGAACGAGGTGTGGCAAGAGAGGTCCTGGGGGAGAGGGGTTACATTGGTGCCGTGACCTGGATGGGAGTGTGGTTTAGGGGGGTGAGTTTGATTTTAAGATAAAAAATTAGACGACAAAGAATTAACTTGACGGAGCTCAAACTCATGAAATATCATGCAATGAACCACAGCCTCCTTGTTAGTGAGTCTGCCTCCCATGCTGGAGACCGGGGTTTGAGACCCACTCGGAACAAGAACATGGTGTGACGGAGAGGACCTGGGAAAGAGGGGTTACAATAGCATGGCATTTTGAACAAAGCACTTGATGTTGAACAAAGTGTTTGATTAGGGTTGGAGCTAAACTCTGCAGGACACCCCTGCTTTAGGCAATCTGTTAATGCTTAAGGTGTCATTTGCTTTCAAATTAGTGTGGATATTATGCCAGGGTTGTATGTGCTGTATCCCAAAACTACATGTTTACTGGTACCATAATCTGGAGCAAGTAATTTTAATTTTCATTAATTAAAATCATTTTGGTTGAATGCCCTGATAAAATAAATATTTCAAACGCAATGTGATGTTTACAACATTTAGGGATTATTCATTCATTCATTCATTTATATAGTTATTTATTTACATATGCAAACATTAACTCCCTCCCTGTAGGTTTATTTATTTATTTATTTTTGGTATATATAGTGCGCCTGCGACAAGCGTTCGCGTTTCCTGTGTGCGTGTGTATTTGCATTCTCATGCGTTTTCCCACAGGACTCTCCCACTGCCTCATTAAGCCGCGTCAATGATCTTTTCATTAACTTTTCCGTTTAATTAGGTCGTAAGAACTATGTCATATGTCACTGCAATAGACAAGATTCGCTGTGATCTGAGCGTCGACAGACTAGATTTCTTAATGCTAAAAATATCAGTGCGCATGCCCATGACAGTAACAGTATCAGTTAGAATGATTAGAAACCCGTTTAAATATGTTGTTAGAATGGATTTTACGGAACTTTCATTACTTTTTGAGTTTAATATCTGGGCAGTTATGTCTGTTCAGGACCATGGAGACTTCCCCAAATACTTCCAGTGTTCCAGAAAACTCCAAAGGCTTTTGGTATGTAAAGAGGTCCTGTACACAGTCGCTCACACTAGAGACTCGTCATTTAGATCTGCTGAAGAGATATGATGTTAAATGTAGGATTAATATGAATATTCACTCATGTAAAGAAGATATCTGAGGGGGATTCCTGCCAGAAAAGGCTATATTTGTCTTGGCACGTCTTTAAATGGCGTGTTTAATGTAAGTGGTGGGCGGAGCCGCGAAGCTCGCGAGCACACGACTGGCTCCAGCACCTCAGTCGAGTGGAGGACAGCGAGCTCTGGATACGCGGATTATCCCGCTACACTGGATTTGACCTCAGCATCACTCCACCGCGCTCCATCACTCGAAATGTGGATTTAAGGTTTTTTTTTTTTTTTTTGAGAAAATTTGTAGAATAAACCGGATTCTCCACCGGTGGAGTACAATCTGCGTCATACAAGGTAAATCAGAACTACTTTAAGAGATTTAGAGAGTTTCACAAATGCGTTTAGTCATTAAATCACATTACTCCTGTTATACTACCATGTTTCTGCCGTTTGAGTATTTATAAATATATATTATTAAACACATATCTTTCGTGCATTTTCTCTGGGATAGCTAGATTCTTCTAATGCAAACGCTTGCAATTTAAATTCGAAATATAATTTTTTTTTACAGCATGAAAGAGATTGAAACATTCTTAAATATTGTATCCTAATAATCTTATGTCATAAAAATTTCTGAAATATTTAATGCATGTTTGAGATCTACTGTCATTGCTGAAGAGGGTACTGAAGGATGCAAGATGCAAGCAGCAGTCTGAACATGATCACCTCTCTCTCTCTCTCTATAACACTGGTCCAAACATTTCACCTTAAAAATCAAGTAAAAATCAGTTTTTGCATTAAGAAAAGGACACCTATTTTTTAAATCCTTTATATATATATAAAAACACACATATATATATATATATATATATATATATCCCTCTTTCCGTCTTCTCATATGCCTGTATTTGTGTATGTGTTTGTTACCTTTTGAATACAGAAACCATTTAAGGGTTGAGGTGTGTGACTTTTTTTCCTCTCTCTCTCTTATGGAACACCAAAGGAGATGTTTGTTAGAATGTCTGAGCTGCCCTCTTGAATATAGAGAGGGCCTGTCAAGCTATAAAAAGAAGAGGGAAAAAAAAGCATAATTACAAGTAGCCCATAAGACCTGTGCACTATATTACAATTTTTCTGAAGTTGTGCATCCTTTTTTAAGTGTATGAAAATTACCAGCTTCAACATTCTGCTATAAATAACTGCTTTGGTGGTCCACAGAACAAACGTAAATCAGGTTTTGAACTACATGAGGGTGAGTAAATGATGACAGAATAATTTTTGGGGTAAACTATTCATTTAATTGGGAATCCCATTTGAAACACAGTGTGTGATGAATAATTTCTATTCCACAACGCCCATGCCGTTGCACATTATTATTACACTGCAGGTTACTCTGGCTTGCTTGTTTTTTGTTCTTTGTGAATGCATGTCAGGAGGTATTGGTTGACTTGATGTCAAATTGCCTTTTCGATAAAAGAAATTCCGACATTGAGAATTTGAGAGACATTTGCAGGAGAAACCCAGCAGAGATTGACACGACATTGGAGAAAGCGCATATGGAGACATAATCAGCATATATATTTGTTGTTTTCTGTACCCAGCATCTTGGCCTTGCTCACAGAGAATAAAACATGCTGGAAATGACTGTAAATCATTCAAGGCAGATGGAAGACTTTTCCTCTGATAGTTATGTGTAAGCTTTTCATGGTCTTTTGCCTTTTGGGAACCAAATGCAACATTTATTCTGTTTGAGTGAAGGACAGGCTTTTGTCAATGGTTTACAGAGCATATGGCAGCAGAACACATACTTCAGAGTCTAATTCCTCATCTCTAGTCTTAGTTCTTCATTTTTGCTTGTTAAATGGGATGTATTATGCTTATGTCCAAAACAGCACTGTCCAAAAATCCTGTCCAAATGTCTTTTGAACAAGAATCCTCATAGACTACTGCCTCTGAAGAGTTCTGATCGGATCTATATCATTTGTAACCCAATAGTCTGTATTATGTTTGTAATAAGTCCTCCATGTGATTGCTGCCAGACCAATGGCCAGTTGTCATGTGCCGTGTGTGAGGATTGGGTTTCAGGCCAGCCTGTTTCCAGTATAGCAGACTGAACAGGAAGTCTTTCTGCAAACCCGTCCTGTATGATGCCTTGCCTATTAGTGTGACATGCATGGTAAATGTCTTGACCGTGGTCACTGCTTTCTGCTCGGCTCACCCTTTTCACCTTTCTTCTCAAATCTCGTGGAGCACCCGTTCTCTATTGAAACACAGACAAGACCCGCTATCGCTCAAGAGACGCTCCACTCATCGATGTTGGTATCAGTTGCCTTAATTCAATAGCTGGCTGCCAGGGAAAGATTAACTATTCAGGGCAGGTAGTTAAAGGGGCTATTGTGTTGCACCGCTGTGGAACAGCTACGATTGGGGAGGTTTTTGTCTCTGGGGGCTCTATGCCAAAGCAACAGCCAGGGCAGCGAGGGATGGAATTCTACACACACGTACAGTATCTCTCTGTCAGACATCTGTCAACTGACCGCGTGTGTTGTAAATACTTAGGTGTCGTAAACAGCAAACATTTGACAGTGGCTTTTGTGACTACTTGTATTTGCCAAAATGCAAATGCAGTTTTGAATATGAAATAGTTGTGTGTATGCTTTATTTTTGTGCAAACTTTATTTTGGACTAAAAGGCTTTACTGTTGGCCTGCACAAAAATATATTTTCAACACATTGATATAACAACAAAGGCTTGTAAAGGTAAAGTGTGTATTTTTAGGCCACTAGTGGCATCAAACATAATTGCAAAAATAATGAAACTAAACAGGTTTTCCAATTTCCACCTTTGCCATCGGTCAGACAAATATAATAATGTTAATAGACAGAAATCGCCATGTTGGGCAGCTGAAATATTTTTCAGGAGAAGTAAGTTATAACCCTTCTAAAAGGTTTATTTATAGTCCCTGAACACAAGGAGAAAATACTTAAAAAATACTGTTTCACAAAACAATATGCCATTCTTTATAATTTTTCAAAAATGGTCAGTTGAATAAATTAATCATATTTAATTATAGTTAATGATTAAATAAAACTCTGTGATACTGTAAATGATTGGGTGACCTCCTCATTAGCATTTAAAGCTACAGACACAGAAATGGCACGTCCTAAGGAAAGCTCATTGTGGGACTGGCTCGTAGTGGCTGAAATTCTGCACCAAGGCTGAATTTCGGGAAAGAGACTTCAGATACAGTACTAGGGACCACTTAGGCCTATATAAAAGCATCCAAAAAGCAGCATGTCATGGGACCTTTAAATCAAACCCTGACAAATACATTTGTTTCCTTTCAAATTTGGCACCCTCTTTGAAATGTTTGAAAACATTTGAGTTGGTCTAATGAAACATAAGTATAAGGGAACACAAAATTGCCCACTGTATATAGTATATTTGTCTGTGTATGTAATGTGAAATTAACCTAATGAAAATGTATGTCATTTTTTCTTTATCTTAACAGATCAGGCAAAAGAAGGACCGATGTGGCCATTAACATGCAGCGATATAATAGAATCAGAAGCAATATGGAGCATCTCTGTTTTAATCCAGAAAGTCGACTCAAGGGAACATCATCAGTAAAGCCCATCTAGATAACAGAAGCAGACCAGTTGTCCACTTCTAATATCAAGGCTGTTTGGTTTTTTTGGAATTCATCCCGGTACCGTTAAACAGGATTTAGGATAGCATGTGTCAAGAACCTCAATGGCCTCACCTTCTTCATTCATATGGTTATCATCTAAAGGATTTGATGTTTCTTCAGTGACCTCCTTATCGTTTGCCAGAAAAGATAACTGAGGAGTTTTATTTTGTTCATTGCACTCTTGTAGCATAACCACTGGTTACCATGCCTCCCATTTGCTGGCCCCATTGTATACTATTACTATTCAGCACCTTCCTGAGTCTTGGTTTGGGCCTGGAGTTCACAGGTTCAGAGGGTCAGTGGGCACGCTATCTTCGCTGGGATGCCAGCACCAGAAGTGACCTCAGCTTTCAGTTCAAAACAGCTATATCAGATGCACTGGTTCTCTACTTTGACGATGGAGGATATTGTGACTTCCTGCTCCTGAGTATTGAGGAAGGCAAGCTGAAGTTGCATTTTAGCGTGGACTGTGCAGAAACCACTATAACCTCCGACAAGATGGTAAATGACAGTCGCTGGCACTTTGCCACCATCAGCAGGCACAACTTGCAAACCGTGTTGGCGCTGGATGGAGAGTCAAAGGTGGACGAGGTGAGACCACAAAGGCAGTTCATGAAGATTGTCAGTGACCTGTATCTTGGAGGAGTGCCTCAAGACATTCGGACAGCTGCCCTAACACTACCAGTGGCTAAGGAGATGCCACCATTCAAGGGGATTATTACAGACCTGGGCTACGGGAATCAGGTTCCAACACGCCTGGGGAGCCAAAATGTCCGGTTAGAGATGGAAGGCTTGTGTACGGAGAACCCCTGTGAAAATGGAGGCAGTTGCAGAATGGCTGACGGTGAAGCTTACTGTGACTGCTCCAAAACAGGATATGTAGGTCGTTACTGCAATGAAGGTAAGAATCTTTCCACTTGATTTTGAGCATATGTCTTGCCAGTAGTTTGGTGTAGTAATCTATTAATAAAAAAAAAAATGCATCAACATAAAATCAAAATTGACCCTATTTACTTTCCTGTTATACATTCATGGTAAGTTTATTAAAGTAAATTTATCTTGATATTTTTACTGAAAAACAAGTCATAACATACACGTGCAGTTAAATTACACTTCACAGTGCATTTTAGCATAATTCATCTCATTCATTTGTGAAATTATCACATTGAAACTGTAGGCAACTTTACTGATTGTACATAAGCAAGCTAAGCGTAACTTTTTTCAATTAATGATGATTTGCAGTGGCCCCCAAAAAAGTATTTAGACACTGTGTCATCCTTAACAAAATGTGTGAATTCATTACATAAATAAAACAAATGGTATTTATTTTAAATAAAGATAGCATACATACACTTTCAAGTGAAACAGACAAATAAATACGAAAGTTACTAGGATACCAATTTGACCACTTGATGAGAACTAACAATAAAAATCCCTGCAATACCAACTTGCTGCATTTGCAAAAATGGTTAAAGTTAGATGAAGATGCCAGTTGTTCTAATGCAATTACATTCATACATTTTAAAGCATGGTTTAAGTGTCCAAATAGTCTTTAGGGCCACTAATGCTGTTTAAGGTCATTTCTTACTATCTGTAAGACATTTCATAATAATGTTGTTTTGATTATCAGTAATTATTTTGCTCAATGTATCACTGATTGAGTGACAGTTTATGTCAGCAATGATTACCTTGACATGTTACAGATATTGTTTTCACTTTAAACCTTTTGCAGGCACATCCATCTTGGTTTGTTGTTTTATATAGTCATTGTTATAGGTTAAATTATACTTTTTTCCATCAAATATCCAGATCCTGCACATGTTACAGACAATGGAAGGTACACCACAATTTCAAGAATTGAATCTTTTGAACTGAGATTTTATTTCTACTATCTGAGAAGAGAAAATGTCTTGTTTCTAAACGGTCAGGTTTCTTTTTTCAACTGTACTTCAGTGTTAAGACCTATTTGGGATTACTCTCACTGTAGACTCACCAGCAGGTATTAAAATAAGTCTCAAAACTGATTATACTTTCCGAATGCACACTGAATTGCCAAGAGACTTTGGTGCTGTGGTTATGAGAGATTACTCTTTTCATGTTGTGCCCTGTGTATAGTCTATAATTCCACAAGCATCTCAATTTATTCAGGGCACGAATATAAAGGCATCCAGTCAGGCAGGGAATCAGTAGACCCAAACCTCAATGCCTGACTTATTGCATTTCGTGATCAAACCCAAGCCCTTTAGACTGATCACACCAGCCCTGCGCCTCAGTGCTCCTTTATAAAGATTAAGTGATAGTCCTCATTATTGCATTTCGTGATCAAACCCAAGCCCTTTAGACTGATCACACCCTGCGCCTCAGTGCTCCTTTATAAAGATTAAGTGATAGTCCTCAATAGCGACAGGAGATCAGGCTGTATGATCAGATCACCTTTGGATCAGTAGGGGTGCTCAGGGCTGGAGGGCTGGTGAAGGATGTTTCTGCGTCTCTGGCCTTCTGGCAACCAGTAGGCCTAAAAAAGTGCCCTTAATGAGGAGCCAGTCAGCAGCTGCTCAAGGGAAAACTAATGTGATAAATGCGAAGCTAGTGGACCTCTAATCTCAGAGCAGGGGTTTTGCTCAGCCGGTCCTGCGCTTTGACCGCAGGCGTGGCTGTCAGGGCTGTCAAGGCTTGTCTTGGCTTCATCAGGCCTTAGTCGGTGTCTACAGATTAATGGACGTGTCTGATAACGGATTGCACCACTGAGCTGTGGGAGCGTTTTGTAATTAGGGGCGGAACGAAAGAGAAATGGCTAATTCGCTGGTGGGTGATGGGGGCAAATGATGGGCTTAAACTTGGACTTACATGCTCTTAGCAGCTCACAGCAAGGCTGTGTTTACTCATTTACGGGGAATTCACTAAAAATGAATTGAAATGAAATGAAGTTTTAATGGCAGTAATAGTAAATTAACAAATATGAAATGAGTCTTATTTACATTGAAGGGTGTTCCTTTAACTTCAGACACTTTTATGTTCCAGGGGTTCATTTTTATTAAAAGTTGGATTTTAAAGGGGTCCTATTATACTCTTTTACAAAGTCTTGATTTTGTTTTGGGGGTGTACTAGAACAGGTTCTCATAGGTTGTTCGAAAAACACATTATTTTTCACATATTTTACATTATTACAACACCTCTCTCCCCAGTCTGGCATGAAAGGCTCGAATAGTTCCTGTATCAAATGAAAGCCCGCCTTCTGAAATACGAAATGTGCTGTGATTGGTTAGCTGGGCCAGTGTGTGCTGTGATTGGCAGCACTCGGCGCCTGGTCAGGAAATGTCATGC